CAGAGTGTTGTTCAGCATGGGGGTGAGTAGAAAATGAAGGCTAATCATGTTTCGGGTGTACTATTCCTTTAAGGACGGAGAGGCAGCAAAATGGTTTTACCATCCATGGTTTAGGACAGGGTTTGCTTTTGCAGAGATACACACACACAATATCATGCAGTTCCATGATGGTCATTTTAGGGCAGGATTGTTTGCCCTAATATGGTTAGCAACAATAAACTTATTTTGCGAAGAAGAAATGGCAGAACTATCAGGTTCTAATTATGCAAAGCTCGTTTGAGAGACAAATGTTACTGCATACAAATATTGGCCCCAATTATTAGACCAACTGAAAAGATAATATTAAAAAAACATACATTTTAATCCAGCACCTTTGTTTTTTGCAGCTTTACAAACCCCAGGAAAAAAATGGCCTATTTCTTTAAAAACCGTCTTGTATTTGTCAAAGTTTGACTCATTTGTAAATCATTTAAAAAATTGAAATGTTTGTCCAGCTGTTCTTCAAGTGTCTGCATCACATTAAGCAAGACTGAGGGGAAAACAAGGGTGTGGTGTTCAGGTTTTTTGTATTTAGTACAGAACCAGTGTTAATCCAAATCTCTTCTTTGTTCAAAAAAACAAAAAACATATGTTTGGAAGATATATCTTGACTGAATGTGTTGAACAAAATCTAAATAGACTGAGCAGAAAGTAGAAAAACAACAGGAAGTCATACCCACCAGCTGCCAAAAGAAAGAAAAATCAAAAATGTCCACTATTGTTTTTAGTTTTTTTTTTCTTTTTACCATGAATGCTTCATATGCAAAAGTAAAGTAGCAGTGTGTATTCTGGTGCCCCCTAGTGGTAGGTTTCAATCAACACACTATAGGAGAGGCTTAAACTCTTGGCTGCTGCAATGCAGATCGATGGTCTGTGTCTGGATGAGGTGTGTGTTTTCTTATAGGGGAAAAGAAGTCAGAAGTTAATCTGCTTGTTAAGTGGATTTGACTGCCCTCTGTGAGCCTGGATTGCTGTAACCAGCTAATCATGTAGAGATTCTGATGCACATGCTGTTTGTTTGCAGACACAGAACCCATGGCGGGCAGCAGAGGTTTCCACTGACGCTTTACCAAGAGATCGAGCTGTGAAGAGCGTCAGTTTCCAAGAATCAGTCAGCTTTATCACTGACAGGCCTGCAAACATGGAGCTGGAGAGCCAGCAGATCCAACACTGCTGCCTGAGAGGCCCCAGTAACCAAGGTGTGAAAGCAGAGACCCCAGAGAGCGAAGTGGTGCAGGTATGCTGGTTTTAACTTATTAATGTTGCAGGTCCAGTTCTCACTTTCTAATTGAAGGCAGTAAAAATGTGATTTTAATTACCTTGGTTTCAAACCCTCCGTGTTTGCAGGAGATCTGCTACCTGGACCAGGTGCTGGACGCAGCTTCAGAGACATCCACCAATGGAAACCCATCACCATCAGAGCGCACAAAACCCATCAGCATGAATGGAACCTCTCCTTCTGTCCGTGTGTCTGACCATCACCAATCGTTTTATGGGGAAGACCAAACGGCGAGCACATTCCCCCGTCAGGAGTCTGCCATAAGAACCAACGGTCACGCGCAGGGAGATGAGTCGGGATGCAGTGCGGCGAAGTTTGAGCTGCGAGCGTTTCAGGAGGAGAGACGGCCGGCAAAACTTTTCACGCCTGGAGAGGAGCAGCAAGTCAGGGTGACAAGGAGACGACCCTCAGAGGAGGTAATCGGTTTGATCATTTACCCTGATAACAACTGGAACAGCTTCAAAAAGGGTTGAAAACGTTATATTTACCTGAACACTTCATGGAAAACCTCTAGTTTAACTGCCCCATATATTTACTTCTATTCAGAGGTCAAATACAAACTCCCACTTTTCTGTTTCCACACATTTCTCCAGGTTCAGGAGTTGGAGCGCGAGCGACAGGAGCTGATCAAGGACCAGGCAGTGAGGAAGAACCCCGGCATCGCACAGCGCTGGTGGAACCCTCCTCAGGAGGTAAACAGCAGAGCTCAGTCGTTTTTTTTCTGCAAACCCCCTGACAGGTTGATTTATCAGCTGTTGGACTGTTTATTCATTGAAGGTCCCCTTGGAAGAACAGCTGGACGGAGAGAAGCTGGAATCTCTAAAGAAATACCAGGAGAGAAAACAGCGGAAACACAATCCTCCCTATGCATACGCTCAGGTAACAAAAACACACCGCACCATATGCTGCTGTTCAGATGTTCACCGCTTTGCTCAGTCAGGCTCTGAAAGATATATCTAAACTGAACTGGGAAGGAGGATGTTGGAGCTTAAACACAGTTAAACACTTAGCCTTGTTCTCATAATGTATTTCCTCAGGGGATCAGATGCAGAGTCACTCTTTCTCTGCAGAAGTTTGGAAAGCTGTAATACCTCTTGAACATTTAGCTACAGTAAACAGTACAGGGGGTTAAATAAATCGGTATATAGTTGCTGTGCAACTGTGGGAAGCATGAAGCCATTCTTTTGCATTGCAACACCCTTTTTACTGCAATTTCAGCTACTATTTTTCTTAGATATGTTTTCATCCGTCTAGAGATTAAGAGTTTTGTTAATTCTGCTTGCAAAATGATTTCTCTTGAGCTAGTTTGAACCACTCTTATTTGTGATGAACCATTTACTAGTCTAGTCTTGTTTTATTTAGCTTTAGGGTTAATTAATTGGAGTAATTGTGATTAATTGTTATTAAAATGATAGTCTACTAATTTTTTAATCTATTAATTAATGACAGAGGGACCCACTTGTTGCATTAATTATACCAAAATTGTAAAAGAAATATAAAAAAATGTTGCAATTAAGATAAAAAAATATATATTTTCGTCTGCTCTATCAAGAACTCCTCAAGTGGAAAAGTTTTAGTTTCACCTGGTTTCATTTTGTAAAAAATATTCTTTTGCTATCTTATTATTAATAGATTAATCGAAAAAGTAATTGAAAGATTAATTTGATAAGTTTGTGAAATAATCGTTAGTTGCATCCCTACTTAGATTAAGGTCAGGGCTTTAACATGAAGCTATAACTGCATGTTGTGAGTCTTTAAAGGAAAAACTCTACCTCTAAGTTTTTCTCTTAGATCAAAGACTATTTACCTTCATGGTTCCTACCCTTAACTCTTAATAGCCTCGCTGACCCTGCTGAAGAATAAAACTTCTCCACAGCTGATAGCTTCTCCCACCTGAGCTGTGGATCTCTAACAGAATAACTGAGCCATCTCTCTGATAGTTGTATCGATATTTTAGGAAATAATCCGCTTTAAACTTCTCTCCAGTGATCTGCTCTGTGCCCTGTTCGTTCAGTAATATCCTCTAACAATCCTAAGAGCAGCCCCATTAAAAATAAATCATATTTTATGTCAGGGTATCGCTGTAAAGGCAGCAGAATTTTAAAAAATGCCCCACATTTTTAGTTTTTTTTTTATTTATGTTTGGAAGAAAAAATATTTATTTTCCACAGAATCTCCATAAATAGCAATTTTTCTTTGTAAGAAGACAAAATGTGAAAAGGTTGATGGGTTATTAGTATGTGCCTCCTTCACTAATTTGTTCCAATCTGTCTTTGCAGCCCCAGTTGTCAGGACCACCGACCATGATGACCTTTGACCCTGATGTAACCAGGAAGGAGGACATTGTGGAGGAGCAGATTGATTTCTCATCTGCCAGGAAGCAGTTTCTGCAGGAAGAGGCTGCCAAGAAGAACCGAACTCCTCAGCTGTACTCTGCCAAACCCTTTTCTAAATCCGGAACAGGGAACAGCCCGGGGAGCGGCGACGTTGTTGTAGAAGCTGGAGAGACTCGTGTGACGTGGTCTGATGAGGGCGTTGTTGGAGAATTCACCTGCGCTCGAGCCGTGATGACGATCCTTCCAGATCAGGAAGAAGGAAAAGATCATTTTCACCAACCGTTTCACCCAGAAGAGTTTGACTCGGGGTTGGACGAGCTGTCTGTCCGCTCCCAGGATACGACTCTCTTCAGTTTGGATAATGTTTCAGACAGCGGGGCTTCTCTACCCCCCACTCCGTTACCACTTACCCCGGTGTCGCCCCCCACCCCTCAGCCCACTACTCCAGTAAATGGCCGGAGCAGCGGAAGCCCCAATGAAGAGGAGCTGGAGTACCATGCCGGGGTACTCGTCCAAAACGCCATCCAGAGCGCCCTCGCCTCTCAGAACTTAGGAGAAACGCCTGAGCTGAGCGGCTCCCAGCTGAGCGCCCCGGTGTCGCCGACCTCTGCCTCTACCGGCAGCCCAGTGCCCGTCTCATCCTCACCTGTGTCTTCTACTGGAGCTCCCAGCTTCCAGTCGCCTGTTTCCTCCAGTCCTGCGCCATCCAACCCGTCCCCTCAGCCTGACACGCAGTCAGGGGATCGAGTCGAACCGAAAACAGATCAGGCTGAGCAGTTGTCCGGTCCATCTCCCATTTCACACCTCCAGACTCCCTCTCCTCCTCCATCACAGCCTGTTTCTCCTCCTCAGAGGCCTAGAAACGGAGGCCCGAGGATTAAAATCCAGTCGTCCTACACACGAGCTCTTGCCTCCTCAGCTCCAGCTCCTGCTCCTGTCCCCGCTGCAGCCGCCGCCGCCGTTCCGAGGCCGCCCCCCGTCTACCGTCCCCCTTCTCCTCCGAGCCCAGAGAAGCCAGAGTTCAGCTATTTCAGTAAATACTCGGAGGCGGCGGAACTGCGCAGCACAGCAGCAGCAAGTCGAGGCCCCGAGGTCGAAGCGGCCCAAGGCCCGTTCCGCCTGCGCTCCAAAAAGCAGAAAACTCTGTCCATGATTGAAGAGGAGATCCGAGCTGCTCAGCAGAGAGAGGAAGAGCTGAAGAAGCAGCGGGAGGCTCAGCCCGCTGTCGCCAAGCGGCCCAGCAGCATTTCCAGCAACAGTCAGGGATCTGTGAGGGCAGGAGTGAGGCATTGCACCGTTTCACCCGCAGACAAGATGAAGAGCAACAGCCTGCCTGCCAGACTGACGCTGACAGCGAGGACAGCACCAGGTTAGTTCCTTCAATCACTCACAAATATTCACCTACCTTCAACCTTTGGAATTAAAATGTGGCACTTTATAAAAAATGTCCAGCTTGGAACGAACGTCCACACTTTTCAGATTTACTTTATAGCTATTTATGTTTCTCTTTTCATGGTGTTAAAAAAGCTTTCAATTAAGGTCATTTTATTTGGTGCTTTGCAGGAAAAATTGAGAAGGTTCGGCCAGCACCACCTGTCTCCCCCTCCCCCTCGGAAGGCGCTCTGTCCGACGCTGGCAGCGAAGATTCCTGTGGCTCACGACCCAAAAACCTGATGCAGACGCTTCTGGAAGATTATGAAACGCACAAGGTGAAAAGAAAAGAAAAGATGGAGGACAACAGTGTAAGTATTTTCATATTTCCCATCAAGTTTCCCATTCAACCATCCCAGTTTGACTTTATTTCATGGATATATGGTTTTGTAATTCTTATGTGGAACATCAAGACATTTACAGGAATGAGTTGAGATTATGACACGCAGCTGGGATTTAGCTGGGAGCATAGCTGAAAGCCACTATTGGGACCAGCTCAGACTGATCCAAGGCAAAGGGGAAAATTCCCTCCCTTAATAATGAAAATGAAATTAAAAAGCAAAGCTTGAGCTTTATTTCCCCACTTTCAGTATGAGTTCAGTTCAATAGCTAGATCGCCACTTTAATTATGGGTCTGAAATTTACAATGGGAACAAAATAGGAATATAGTTTACATCCTGCAGAACCTTTTGCACTTTTAAAGTGAATTTATTTCTTCTGTTGACTTTGAAATGTATGTGTTTTTTCTTCGTTCATGATGACATCATGTGCTGACTTTTCCTCACTGTTGCTTCTCTCCCGCTGCTCGCTCAGTATGCACATTTGTTGCGGGCTAATGAGGTAACCACTGAGGTATTCAATACGCCCTGAAACCTCGTTGCTCCCTGAACTGCCCTAACAGCCAGACCTGGGTCAGAAAAGTTCATCATTCTTTTTTACATTTATATTATTAGGCAACTTGATTATTACTCATAGTTTACTAAAAGTTCTTTTTTTTTTTAAACCTGTACGGAAACAAAAATGGACTTAAATCTGATCCCAGGTCTGTTCAGATATGTTGTGCTGTTTCTGCATGAGTCTTTGTCTGCTTTTGTAAACCAAACAGGCTCCTTTTTAAGATGTTTCTAAGAAAAAAAGCATCACTGGGCTTTAAATAAAGGGTTTACTGAAAAGTTTCACATTTTTTTTATTTTAAAACATCCAATCCATTTCCAAATGAAGGCATTTGAGATAACCATGTAGTAGGGCGGAAACAATTAATCAGATTAATTGTGATTAATTGATTATTTAAATAATCGTCAACTAATTTAGTAATCGATTAATCGTTAACTGGAGCATAGAGACTCTAAAACATGCCTTTAGCTGACAGAGGGATCCAATTGGAGCAGCACCAAAATTGTAAAAAAAAAAAATATGTAAAGATTATGCATTATGATAAGAAAAAAAGTTTTCGTCTGTCAGTGCACCCTATCCAGAACTCCTCAAGTGGATACGTTTTAGTTTCACTTGGTTTAATTTCATAAAAAAAAACCTTTAAGGAACCTTTTGCTATCCGATTATTAATCGATTCATCAAAAAAAAATTATCAGCAGATTAAACAATTGCAGCCATATCATGTAGAGTCCCTCAATAAACTCTACTCTTCGTCTTTTTGTTTTCTCTTATTGTGAGTTAAGTTACAGCTTAACTCGTAGCTTGCCAGGTTTCAATAAAACCGGCCCGGCATCTTGAGCACAGCTCATGAATCCAAACATTTGCCATGTGTGCTATTTTTTTTTTCAATAAAATCAACTTTTTCTTTGGCAATTTCAGTGCTTTTTAACTTTTTATAGTGATTATCTTGGTGAACAAGAGACTGCATCTTTTTCGGGTTCCTCTTTGTGCAAAATGTCAGTTATTCCCTCAGAGAGCAGCTGAAACACTAGATGTTCAGCTTTATGACAAAGCAATGCTGTGTACGATTATCTACATTAACCGTAGCTTTATTATTATTGTCTCAAGCTCCTTAATAATCGAGTGACATCAAAACAGAGAAGCATGCTAGCTTTGCCTTTCCTCCTCAGGTTTAGTCGAAAAAAGATCCCAATTAGAAGACTGATAAAGTCTTCTTTAATTTGGTTGCTTGGTTTGCATGTGCCATGTTTATGCACTGCTGTTGGTGATGGCTGTGTGCATGTCATCAGCTGATGGCCACAGGTTAAACCAGACCACCTAACGAGGTTCGCTTTATAGGAACATTCTCTTTAAACGAGATGCGCTCGTTCTAAAGTTACCCTGGCTTGAATAAAGCGTTCCTCTAGTGTAAAAGTGTGGCTATGTGTCTGGGAAATGCGTGTTTGTGTTTTTTTGTGGTGAGAAACCTCTAATTATTTTTGGAAAACTTTCATTTTAATAAGATTAATACTGCTTTTGGTGCAGTAACTCCTTAATAAATGCAATTTCTGTAGCTTATTTGAACAGGTTAAAACAGGTTTCTGGAAGATTGTTGATGCATGATGAATGTTTTGTGTTCATCACTGCGCTGACCGAGCTTTAATCTGATTGGACGGTATATGCATTGCAGGTTCTGGAGGCCACCAGAGTCACCCGGAGAAAAAGCAACATGGCGCTCAAGTGGGAGGCAGGTATCTATGCCAACGAGGATGGAGAGGAGGAAGAAGAAGAGGAAGAAGAGGAGGAGGAGGAGGAGTGAAGAACTTATTTCAGAGACAATGAAGTCAGAGAGATGGTGGAGAGACGAGGATGATGGGAAAAAGAGTGGAGAACTAACCAGTATTTATTGTGCTAACAGTATCCTGATGATCACATGATGCTAATTAAGGTGCATCAGTTTGGAGACCTGAGGATTGAAGGTGGAACTGTGAGGTTGATATTTGAAGACATTTTTGAAGGATTTTAATGTTGGTTTGATGATAAGGTTTTTTTATCTATCCGCAGTTCTATTATTAAACTACAAGATGTAAAGAATGTTGTTTTTTTCGGAGTTTCTGAAAGGACCTAAAGTTGTATTAGAGACACCGAGGTCTCAGCAGGAAGTAGAAAGATGAAGCCAAGTGAAAGCACCAACATAGCTTTCAAAGTTTGCAACATATTTGATCTTTTTTGTAAAGCTGCAGAAGGACCGCAGTGTCTTTAAGGAACTGAACCAAAGGGCGCCAATAAAGCTCAAAACCCATATTATTTTATGATGCACAAACATGTGAAATGTTGCTTGGAGCTTCTACACTTGTTTAAGCATCTCTATTAAATTGTAAGTGCCGGATCGACAGCATCCCTGGATTGTTAAGTAAATCTGCAAAAAATAGAAAAACTAACTTTGCCTTAGACTGTCAGTAGTTGCTGCAGCATATGGTGTATTTTATGCTCTTCTATCTGTATTGCTACACCTTCAGTAGGATGTAGAAAGACGATTTAACCACATCGGACTGAAAGTTTGTCTATAATATTTTAATTTCACCGGCTTTAAAGATTTAAGGTGTTTGTTTTATACTCTAAAAATCACTTTTTTTCTGCTTTGTCGACCTGTGCTTTCAGATGTAAGCAGTTGTTTCATGTATTATAACAAGGTGTATTTGATGAGTGAAAATGAGGCTGAGGGTAAAATTTCTCAGAATACTAAAAAAGGTTTTGTATAAAAAGGTTGATAAAGACGAATTTTTTTTTCAGGAAAAAAAGGTTTTAAATCTATTTAAGAAGTACTGATGGCGTGCATGAATTTGCAAGAGTGGCAGAAGGAAGTGATGTTACGGAAAAGACGACAGACTTTTTTTTAGCTGGATGATTGGACATTAGCAGCAATAGGTGGGGGAGGGGGTGCTCTCGTACTTAATGATCCATACAGCAGGAGAACAATCCAACCTGTTTTGATTTAAAGCAGTAGAGTTTAGTGCTATGATACGACTTGATGTGTTGGAAAGAGTGATGAAAAGAACTTTGAGAAGCTTTATAAAATGTCAAAATGCCTCCAGGAAAATCATTTCTATTTAGTAGGTTTTGCATTAAAAGCCTTTGAGATTATTTTGTCCGCCGTAGAAGAGATGAAGATAAAACGATTTCTTTAAACCAAAGGCCGCCAAACTAAATCGGCACCTAAACCTTAATACACTCCTGCAAGAGCTACTGTAGGATTTATACTAGCAGTTTATTGTTTTAGCTCCATTGGAGGGTGAAACAAAGGATCTGCCACTATATCAAGATTTCATTTTACATCTGTGAAGGAATAATGTCTTTTTTCCCATTTAGTTGGAGGTGACATCAGTGCAGCGTTAAAAAGAAACTAAAAGACGAGTAAGAAAACAAATGTGGTCAAACCTGTTTTCCACTCCTAATTTCAACTGCTGTTACAGTAGTTTCTTTCCTCGCCGTCTGCTTTTCCGTCTTTTATACAAACGTTTAGTAGCTATAAAATAAAATCACTGCAGAGCATTTTTTTATGAGGTTAAATAACATTGTAATCAATGAGAATCATAAACAAGAGTTACTTAGTCTAAATCCTGTTCCTGAAATGCATAAATTTGCTTTTATTCACCATCCTCCGTATCACACCCACAGTTGTAGCACTGTGCGATTTATATACTAATCATATAATGCTTTTTATGTTTAAACAGAAGGTGCAAATATGATTTTATCATTTTAAAGGATCCGTTTTCTCCCTTTAGAAGCTCGAGCGGTGTGACGCCGTCTCTGTGTTTGATCAAACCAGTAATGTTTTTACAAAATATACAGCATAACCTCTGTTCCTATGTTAACCACTTGTATGCTCATAATCTGCTTGGTTATTTTATAGCACATGTAAGACTCAATATACTCACATGTTATGGATATTTTCTCATTAAACATAAAACCTGGACATGTGTTGGAGTGGTTTATTTATTTTTTTCTTTACAGGGTGAAAGTTGGTTTTCTTTCAGTAATCTGCCTCTAATGAAAAGCTGAAAGAGAAGCTGATGTTTGGCTGTCAGGTGTTTGCTCAGTCTGTTAACATGGAAACTTTTTGTCAGTTGGTTGCACCCAGTTTGGAAAGTACCATGTGGTTAAAGCAATTATGACCTAAATGCCTTTTAGAACCTTTCATATCTTAACAGAGAGCATTTTAGCAACTGCAGGTCAAAATAATTTACTTCTAAATTAACCAGCAGGACATTTCTGAGTCCAGCTTCTCCAGTAAATAAAAAAAATAACAAAAAAAAAAAGGTTTGAAGAAATAGGTTAAGCAATATCAATCAAAGTTTAAGCAAGTATTATAGATATGATACATTTTTTAAACTTTAAAGTTATTCATGATAACATGGAGACTATCATGAAGCAGTGAAGTTGTTTCTGTAAATGTAACATGAATAAAACCAGTGTAAACTGGTTTTAAAGCACTAAAACACCCTAAATGGGAAGTAATGGAGATATTTTTTTATTTTATGCTTGTAGATAATTGGAGGAAACTCATTGTTAATGATTAATAAAGACAGTTCTCCTTTTTTTTATTCACCATATTAAAAATTAAGATTTTCTGTATGTTTTTATTTAGATAACATTTCTTATACTCATCCAGGAAGTAAATAAACATCTAAATATTCCCTCATGGTTGGTTGCAACTTTTAGAGAATTAGGATTGTGTTTCTTAAACTCAACTCAACTCAAACTTTATTTATAAAGCACATTTAAAACAACCAAAGTGCTGCACAAAAATCACAGTTGCAGAGCATGAGATAAAAACTATAATCTAAATACATAAACACAATACAAAAAAAATATTGAACGGAGATAAAATATAATAGGATAAATATTTCAATTTAAATCAAATATATTTTAGAATAAAATAATATTTTGCAATATCTCCACTTATACTTATAAGCCAGGGAGAAGAAGTGTGCTTTTAGAGAGGATTTAAAAACCTCAAAGGAGCGTGCAGATTGAATATGCCAGGGCAAGTTATTCCAGAGTAGGATAATAAACGTATCCAGATGGTTTGAGGATGAAAATTGCAACTACTTACTTTTTAAAATTTAGCCCCCAGAGAGCTTTTAAGAAGAATTCAGTCTTAACAACAGCAGCAACAGTGACCCTTTAGAGAAAGTTCCTGGGGCTTATCTAGGAATTGTGGTCCTGGTTGCAGCACCTGGATCACTATTCCAGATTGGCCTTAAATGTAGTTTAACCATCCAGGCAGTTGTGGCAGTGTTGTTTTAAAAATATAGGGTTCAATATTCACTAAATCCAGTATAGTATAGATAGTATAGATAATTAACTTCATTAGTCATTGCAGATGTGGATCAACCAGATTTGTCCTCCACACTGAAGCCATCCCTTAGGGCAGCCTGTTTGAGTTCACCTTCAGCTGTCACCCAGATTCAAACAAAGCAGAGAACAGACTGGATGCAGAACAGTCTGGGATCAGCTGTTTTTCATCAGAGCAGCTCAGGTGTCTGGATGGAAACAGAGTAAAACTAATTCATCAAGTTTAAATGTGATTATAGGGGAGTTACTCTTTTATAAACAGGTTTATAATATGATTTTATTTTGTATTTATTTTTATTCCTTACTAACTTCCAGGTAACATATGTTGTTTGTTATTAAAGACGGAAGGAATGTATGCCTAAGAATGAAATGCTCAAATAGTTTTTATTTTTTTATATTCAGTTATTGTAAGATCCACTTTTGGACAATCATCAATACTTTAGACTTAGAGGGGAACTTAAAGACAACATGCCCAAAGGGAAACACAAGTCAAAAAAGGTAGGGAAACACAGCAGCAGCCTGGGAGCAGCTTGCAGCAGCAGCCTGGGAGCAGTCTGCTCTATAGCTGATAAGGAAGCTGCTGAAGGAGCCAGAGCAGCAGCAGCAGCAGGCTGTGGGCGGAACTGAGTGCTGCAGTATTCTCAGAACACGAGCTCTCTGCTGTAACCACTGGGCCACCACTTCCCCTGAAAACAGCAGAATGTTACACAAAACAGAAGAAAAATGCAAAGCTAATTATATTGACCTTGAATTATATTTCTATAATAAACAAGTTTTATCTCAAAGGAAAGTTTTGTTCAACTTTTCTATAAATCAGGTTTTTAAAGAAAGAATTGTGGATAGCCTGTTAATGTTGATGGAAATACACATGGAAAAT